TTATAATAAGTGCGGGATATAGTAAGAAGAGGTATGCGTATGCAAATTTTTTTCCCACAATCGTTAATCACGTGATAGCGCTGATAAGAGCTTTAAAGGTTTTGACACGTGTGGAGAGTTCTTGCTTCAAGCCAAAGTTTTACAGGAAAAAATTAATTGACGAACTTGAAATTTTCGGCATGTCTTCCCGATATCACTTAGATGATTTTAAGCATGACCGAATTATTGGAAAGATCGAAGAAGGGCGAAAAATAACAGATGTTGCCAGGGAGTTCGACATCGCTCACAGCGTTGCTTCACGGCTGTGGAAATCATTTAAAACTAGTGGAATGTGTAGCAGGCGGCACGGGGGAGGTCGTGTTAGAAGTACGACGCCTTCAGAAGATAGATATATATTGTCCTATCAGCAAAAAGGAACAGGCGCACCACATCTCAGCAGGTGGCAAATCAGTTTCTTGCTGCCACAGGAAAGCAGATCTCCCGAAAAATGGATGGGATGCTTTGGGGAGGCAAATTGTTGGTCGAAACTATCCCCCAACAAACAAGAACACCCTCATCCGGGCACTGACAGAGGAATGGGATAAATTGCCTCAACAGCTGCTGGATAATGTTGTGCAAAGTATGATACGACGAGTAGAATGTTGTATCACACTCCACGGTAGACATATCCCGAACTGATACCTTTCTTCAGGCTGCCTGCTGACATTTAGATGCATTGTTCCATTTTTCCGTAAGCAGCATCAAATGAACATTTTTTTTCTTTCAGATGTTTCATAGCTTTTGTACTTTCCAGAACAATGATTATTCTTTATTCTAATGTCTGAACAGTGTGGCAACTATATTTTATCCTACTAGGCCTCATGTCTCGCTTAATGTTATGCTACATTGCAATTTGTGATCCGACCTTAGCAATTGTCCAGCAGTGTATATACAATTATTCACATTTCAAGAAAAAAAAAGAAGTTTTAATGCAACTATTTGGGTCACTTTTACAATTAGTTTCCTTTGTCATTAGTTTGTAATTTTGGTCTTATGTGCTTTGTATTTTCCGTACCATTAGAAATAAGAAAAAAATGATTGATAACATTAAAGAATCAATTATTCCTTAGCGGTTGTATTAAAGTTAAATATTTTTGTATGTGTTTTAGGTCTTATTACAGGAGCTTACTTTGCAATGTCAACTATTCTGAATGAGATGGTCCTGATTCATTTCCCGGTAAGTGTCCATGCTGATTTTGAATAAATATTTTTTTTAAAATTAAAAAACAACATTAAAGATATTTTTGGAGCACATTTTGTACTTAAATTCAAAATTGAGGTATTTTAAATTTTCCTACAGTAATTATTTACAAAATAACATTTCAAAATGGTTTAATAAGCTAATGCTCCAATGCTATAGAATCTTCTAGAGAGATTTGTTCAGATAAGATAAATATAACTCTTTCGATTCAGAGGCACTCCACTAACATTATCCCCCTTTTTTCTTATAGACATTTTATGACACAGTTTTCGATACTCGCAATATTTAATATCGTTTACGTTTGTAGAATCGAAGTTTATTCTACCACTTGTGTCACTAAACCATAAATACAATTCGATGTTATTTTCTTTTTGAGGAATGCGAAACGTATAAGCTTTATTATCTTCTGTAATATTAATCTTGAAACCAGAGTTTTTATGAAGTCAATCCTTTCCTACCGACCAGAAAATGTGCGAACACGTTTTTCAATTGACGTTTATTTTCAGAAGCTCGACATTTTGTTTGCGTATTGCTTAAACATTTTATGTTTAGAGGAAAATATCATAGTTTTTCCTTTTACCATTACTAAAGGCTTTTTATTTTTGAAATTTTTTTTTTAAATTTAAGTTATAGATTTTTTAAAAAATCGCAATTATTTTTTATTAATTATTATTCTTCAAATCCAGTATATGCTAATAACATGAAATTGAAAGTTTAAATGAGAATTCAGCAAGTTTTAATGCTATCTTGTTTTAGAATTTCAAATTACATCTGTCATTCAATTGAAGCACTTCGAATGATTATTTAATAAAAATTATTTTAAGAAATAGTATTTTCATCTTCTGCCTATAATTAGTGGTGGTTTCGAATTCAACTTTATATAATATGTTTATAAATTATTTGAATACTTTTAAATAATAATTTTTCAATTGGGAGTACAGACTGAGAATTATTTGAAAGATTAACAGTTGCTCAAAGGCATGTTGGTAAATGTAGTGTATACTCTACGAAACAGAGTAAAATTAAAATTTAATTTTATTTGTAGTTTATCAGCCTGAAATATTCGCAGTCCAAGGAAGTTGGGGAGCGTGGTACGGACACCGGGTGATTATTAGCATAATCTGATCTCTAATCAAAACTTCGGGAAAGAAATGAACTTTTGCGCCCTAGATTATAAACAAGGATTAATCCGAAGTCCTAACTAGTGGCCTATTAGTTTAATTTTTATGTGATACTAGCAAATAAAATGAAATCAAAATGGAAGCTAAAATAACTTCCAAAATATGTTATTGGCTTTCATTACACCTAATATAACCCTGTTATAAACATCAAAAAATTTCTAATGAAATTCTAATGATCACGAACTTTTTGATTTTCATTAATGTAAAACTGTATTCGATTTTTAAAGTTAAGTAGTTTTAGAAATTTATGAAAAAACATCAAAAAAGAAATTTCTTAAATTCAATTCCATGAAAATTTCTTAAATTTAATTCAATGAGTGTAAGATATTAATTATTTGTATTTCATGCCCTTTAACTCCTTCAGGACTGTAATTTGTAGGGCTATGCAACCGACAATGTCAATGGTCATATATCAAAAGGTACTTCCTTGTAGAACCGAGTTAACATGTGTTTATGTACTAATGAATTGGAATTGAATAATTTTAGTGGTAACTACGCTACTATAGTCCCCCACCAGAATTTTATCTGGGATAGAATTCGATGAATGGAAATAACTAGTTGATTCATTACTGTTTTGTGACACGCCGGGAAAACTGTATTAAGATCACCGAACTTTGGGGGCTGTTGGCGAGAGCTGTATTAAGATCACGGTTGTGTGCGTGGTGTTATCCTATGTTATTATTAGAAGTTGAGAGTGTACAGGTCCCCGTTGCGTGTGATCGAGAATGAGTAGCAACAGCGTGAGGGGAATAATGTCGCAATCAGAAATAGCAAGTCAACTGTTTACATCCAAAATAAGCGTGTTCATATCGAAGTGGGCGTTTCTGTTGAGGTAGGCGTGTTCAGACCACGCCCGAAAGTAACCAATTTAGGGCTAGGCTACCGACAATGTCAACCGTCATCTATCTAAAAGTACCTGATAGAATTGAGTTAACTTGTCTTATATACTAGTGAATTGAATCATTGTAATGGTAGATACATTACAGATCACATATACGTGATTGAGCAATTCTCCTTTCATGGCCAATGGTATCAATTGTGCAACGAGCCTTTCAGACTCGAGCGGCCCATTATCTCCAATAAGCGGCCAATTATTAAACAGGAGTTATACAGGTGTACTCATTGCATATTTTATATTCTTGTAAAAACTGAAATGAGTCAAAATTGATTTTTTCTTTAACCATAGGGTGATGAAGTGGATGCTGGGCGGATGGGTGCAATTATGGTTTTTGCGGGAATGATAGGATCAGTGCTGCTAGGGATATTTCTTGACAGAACCCACAAATACAAGTGAGCCTGATTTTTATTCAATATTAACATTTCATTAAAAATGTCATAAGCATAATATTTTTTAAAAATATTTCATGTTTTTCAGAGAAATTTCTGTGTTGGTATTTACCGTAAGCTTCCTTCTCATGCTGGGTTACACTTTCTTAATTAAACTTGAACATATTTGGATACAATATGTATTCTTATCATTTCTCGGGTAAGTATTTGTTTTTTAATTTGAAGATTTTTTTTACTCAATATATATTCGAAGCTATGCAAACAATCAAGTCAAAAAGCTTACCGTATTGCTTGCACAGCATGGAAGAAATACTGTATCAAAATCTGGCTATTTTTTACCAAGCAATGCTGGATTTAAAGTATTGAAGAGAGTACTAAATGCTGATTTCTCTCAGAACATTTTATTTCACAAGCATAACATTAATATAACATAAGCAAAATTAAACATTATCTGTCGTCCTGCGACCAAGCTAGCTTGGGAAGTGGTTGAAAAGGTAAGTGGCAGTTCCTATGCCTATATGAGGTTATCTAAGTTTCGGCCCCGTCAGGGGCCTTAGCTCATTCATCTGAGTGGAGAAATATTAAAATAGCCGAGGCACATATCAGTGGGGTAATAATAAAGATGGGCAATGCAAGATTAAAATAAACAGTAAGAAAAGATATATACAAGAATATGTGCAAAATATTTACAGAGAAAAATAATCTCAGCTCCTGCCTGCCTCGCCTCCGTCCTTGCGGGCTTCAATGGTGCACAGACAGGAGCCTTGATTGAATAGAAAAGAAAATATTTACAAATTAAGAGGTAAAACGTTTTGATAAAACGCCGTCAGAGAGAAAAAACACAGTTGCCGGACTGTAGTTAATGTTATCGCTGATAAGCTCAAAGTCGAAGATTTGGTTGTAGTTGCGGGTTGTGCAGCTTATTGCGTCTTTGACGAAGGAAGCACACAATAGAACTATGTGTTCTTCGAATGAGGTAATGTTTAGGTCTTTGCGAAGTGGCAGTTCATCCTCTAAAGGAGAATATATATCACAAGGATCACAGGATTGCTTTTACCTGAAGATCTTAAATCGCCAAGCTGGCAGTAAGACTGGTGAGAGTGGCAAGCACCGCAGTATCAAAGCCCGTTTTATTGTTGGAGAAGAAAATAAGCGATTATTAGAAGCAGATTTTAGATTTCTCATACAATCAAACCAGTTTTGATGTTTGAACTTGACTTTTCTAGTAAAAAGCATGTCAAATTTCCGAAACATCTAGTAAATATTAAAATTTGATAAATTTACTACTCTCTTATGTTTTATTTTTAAAACGCTTTGAACAAAGATTGTAAGGACATAAATTAAGGAAATTATGAGAAACTTTATATTAATTGAACTATATACTTTTAAAAACCTGGTTCAAGTATATATTTTCCATCATACTCTTTCGAAAAATAATGCATTACTACAAAAGAAAACAATGGATTAGCACCGAAACTTAAAATAAATTATTATAACTATCATCAAAGAAACACCGGAAATTGAACTAAAACTCGATGATGAAGTCTATCCTACTCACACTAGGACTTAAATTTCGACACTTTTATAGTTTTTATTTATTTATTTACTTACTTCAATTTTAACTTCAGGTTCTTTTATGAACTTTTTTTAATGATTGTTTACTCGGTTATAATAATCACATAGCAAACTTCTTCCTTTAAACGTTTTTTTTAAAATTATTTTTACCCTAATACCATTTATTGTTATTTGCTATTTTTTAGAATTTCGAGTGATTTGTTTTAAACTGTTCTTTGTGTTTATTGCTGGCCTTTTGTTATATCTTGAGTTCTATATTGTAATTTTGTGTTTTTATTACGCGCACGGGTGATAACCTAGTCCCTAAGCCGAACGTGTGTCTTGTGGAACCGAGAAAGGAAAAGTCCAGCTCTTCAAATACGTAATTAATGCTTAAAACTACTCGGTAAGGTATGCTATACCAGAAAAGCAACTTACTTACAATGTGATCAACATACTCAGATTTAGAGGACTCTAATGACCTAGCTAATGTATGTTCAGTATTAGACAGATTACCAAAATTTTTACATATAAGTTAAAATGCTGATTTGAACAAAAAGAAAATACTCAGTAAAAAATTTTCTGAAAAATTTACTATTTCAATAAAATATATTATAAATCTTATACTTTCTTTAATCTTTCAGTTTGTTCATGACTGGGTATTTGCCAGCAGGATTTGATTTTGGTGCTGAAATAACCTATCCAGAGCCTGAAGCCATGTCAGGAAGCTTGCTAAATACATCAACACAAGTAATTCTATTTGCCATAAATTTTTATTACTTTAAATTAGACATTTTCTCTTCAGAACTAAATTTTAACTTTTCAATAAAAGAGTTTAGAAGGTTCTAAGTTACTTTTTGTGAATTTAGAACACTAGCTTTAGAAGATATTGAAATAATAGGAGGACGTACTATCCTTATTGCCATGTTGAAATATGTAAAATGTATTTTCGAACACTTAAAAACTACATTATTAACTTATGAAATATATATCCACTTTAAAGGTTCGCGGGGGGATTAAAATATGCAATTAGTTAGTTCAAACGATAATTTAAATTACGAAATCAGACACAAAAACGTACTTTCTGGTAGCCACAATCTGGGAAGTATGGTCCTAATAGTTTGGTCAAGAGAGTGGAAAGTTTGAGCCCCTTAATGTTAATTTTACTTTTTGTGTATTTCACCATATCTCAAAACTCTTTAAGCGAATAGAAAAATGTTTGGAAACAATTATAAAACTTGTAGAAAATTCAATACAAAATATAACTTTCAATAAACATTCATTATTTTTTTAATTATTTTTTTTAATTGCATATGAAAATTTTTTGAATTGTAAGTGTACAACTCTTCTATCATTTTAAAAAATACAATTTCAAATGGCAAAGTATAAAATTAGAGTGAAATTGGTCAAATAGTTCACGAGAAATCAAATGAAAAAAATGTGACTTTTTCAAAATTCGATTTCTCAGGAACAATTTAACCAATTTCGCACAAATTTTGTATTTTTCCATTCAATATTGCTATTTTTAAAATTATAAAAAAATTGTATACCTTACAATCCAAACAAAATTTCGACTGTTATCAAATAAAATAATAAAAAAATAATAAATATTTTCTCGTAGTTATATTTTGCATGGAATTTTCTTTGAATAAATGAGTTTTAAAATTGCGTGTTAACCTTTTTCAATGAGCCTTGTTTCTCGTGATATCACGAAATTCACAAAAAGTTAACGTTAAGGGGTATAAAATTTGGACCACTCTCCTAACCTAACTATTGGGAGCATTCTTCCCAGATTACGATTACCCCTTACGTTAGGGGGTCAAAGATCCGAATCAGTTCAAAAAAAGGTATGTCCAAAAAAGTACGTTTTTGTGTCTAATTTCGTAATTTAAAATATCGTCTGCAGTTATATAATAGCATATTTGAGGTCACTCCTTTGAACCATTAAGATTGAGTCTTAAAACGAGAATATCCAATCATTAGATCAAAAGTTATTCTGGGGGGTCCGTTTTTTTATTTTGTGCACTCCTCATAAAAATGAAGATTCTTCTTTACTTTGGAGCCCCATATTTACTAATATAAAACATTTTTATTATTTATATTTAATTCTTCATAAAGCTGTTTTAATATGTAATTGATATCCTGTATCATTGTAAGAAATAGAAAATGAATCAATCAGCTTCTTCTTCAACTAATGATAAATACATCAACTTTTTCCATCAATAAATTTCCATTACGCATATAAGGCCGAATTTGTAATGAAATCGGCAGAAAAAACTTGTCACTTGTTAGCTTTCAATATCATTATGTAGAGAAAACTAAAGTAATTTCGAAATTATTTTTAAAAGCTTGGTGGTTCTTTTTTCTGCACGCTATCACTCGACATCCTCCGAAACTGCTGTCGTAGCTTCTTTTTCAGATAGCTTCGAGTTATAAGCTCGCTTTGTGCATTTTTTTTCCTTAATCTTGTTTAACCTTACTTACTTTCTTAATTGTCCTACTTTTTTATAGTTTAATATCCTTTATAGTTTATTTTAATTAATATTTATACTAATTAACAGCAGATATTAATTTCAAATAATTCATTGTTTCATTATAGATTTTCAGCATACTTTTCACTCACGCTGCCTCTTCGTTGCTACAGAATTATAATGACTTCTATTCGAATATTTTATTCACTAGTAGCTTACTTTTAGGATTAATTATAATAGGTAAAGTATTTTTTTTATTTATTTACGTATTTTGAAGTAAAAATTTCTTAAAAAAACATGTGTAAAATAGTTTTACAAGAAAACCAAATGGATTTGTTTTTCCTATTTAGTTTCTGTCTATTAGTATAAGTTGTATTATGCAGCCTTTGTTGCTGGCATCATTAGATATTAAATGTCTATAGAGGTTATAAACACTATACAGGTTTAACTTACGAAGTTAACAGTATTTTTTCTCTTATTTTTTACATTTAATTTCTACTTGTAGAAGAAATCCATGTTACCATCAAACCATCAAAGTGAAAATATTAGAAAAAAAGAATTATGAATAATATAATTTTAGAAGTAGGTTAAAAAAGAAAAAAAAAAAACGCTGTCTTAACCTCTATGAACCACAACAGGCTGTTGCAGGAATATTTACTTTACAATTTTCAAGCCACACACACACACTCACACACTCAGCTGCGCGACAGCCCATAGAGGGCCAAGGCCTACTGTGCCCATCTCAGTTTTCTTGACCTTGGGCTCTGGGGTGCAGGAGCAGATGTTCCGGTCAGGTGGTCAGCCGAACACGGAACCCCCAGTGTTTAGTCCCCAAGCATGCTTGGAAATCATTTATCGACCCACTGAAGGGATGAAAGGCTGAGTCAACCTTGCCCGGCCCGAGGATCGAACCAGGGACCTGTGGCACGACAGCGCGAAGCGCTACCGCTCAGCCACCTACAATTTTCAAGCCACATCTCCTATATATTTCAGTGTGTAGTAGTTCACTCTCGTCTGTGTATTCTCAATAGCAGAAGTAATTAGCAATTTTTCTTTTTATAATACATTTCCTCCGCGAAAATCCATATAACAAAAAATTAATAAATAAAACGTTTGTAATGCAGCTAAGTCTCAAACTTTTTTTAATTTGAAAGCTCTGTAACTACTGCTGAAGTTTTTCATTCATGTTTCTGAAACATCCAATTGTAATAAATATTTTGGTGCTATCTCTGCATTAGAGTTGAATTTAATATATTAATAAGTAAAGATTAGACGAATCTCTATAAAAATTAATTGTTGAAACCTATTCCCCTTTAAGAAGTTCCTCAGTTACGTACATTCTCCAGTTTTCGAAACTTTGGAGAGTGTGATACAGCAGGGATCTACTAAAAAGACTTCATGGCGTAATTTAAATTATCATAAATATTTTTCTTCTGATGATTTAATCTGGTATAATCAATAAAATATTAATTAGTACAATCAATTTTGTATAATCAATGAAAATGTCTTAAAAAATTCACAATTATAACCAAAATAAAAGTTTTCAAACAAACGTTGCAATATTTTCTTGAGAGTACTATAGAAACATTTTTAAAAAGTCAAATATGTAGGCTAAATAATGAATCATAAAATATAAGGATTGGGTTTTTGAAATGTTTGATTGTGTGTATAAAGATTTAACTGTTCAGAAGTATTTCAAATTTACTTTCAGGCAGGTATGACTAGTTAATTGTAATTATATAGTTTATATTAATAATTTAATTTTAATTAAGTAAGAGTTATAAAGATAATAAAATGATACTTGTCGATATATACACGGCATTGATTCAAATAAGGGAAGAGCTGTGTAACAAAATGAGTTTATTCACAATCAAATTTGGGAAACAGATATTTAATAAAGAGATTGGTCATCCTGACAAAATGTCCCGCAGTGGACTGATCGTTAGGACACGGTTCCCAGCAGATCATCGAAGT